GGAGTCGCTCGGGAGGGCTGTTTGGGACAAGTATTACGCGCCCAGACATGCGTATAATTACGGTATAGCCGGCGATAGGATTGAGAATCTTATCTATAGATTAAGAGATAAGGAATTGGATGGACTCCACCCCAAAGTGACCATACTTATGATCGGTATGTATTTGTGCATGGTTAATTTACTAATCATCCATAGACATGATAAAATGGTAGCTAGCATTGTTATAATTTGCCTTGTAAGAATGTCTAAATGTTAAAGTGTCTGGAACAATTTTCTAATTGAAATTTTATTTTTAAGGTACAAATAATATGGGTTGGAGTGATACCAGGGTTGAGGACATCGCACAGGGAGTCGAAGTTATTGTGAATGAATTGGTGACCAAAATGCCGGCAACCAAGCTCATTTTGTTGGGAATCCTACCTAAGGCTGATAGGTTTTGTGCCAAAGTGAGACAGGTCAACGAGGTGATCGCCAGGTTGAATAATGATAAGAATATATATTTCCTGGACATGTGGTCAGCCTATGTGCACAGGGATGGCAAACAAAACACAGATCTCTATTTAGATGATAGACTTCATATCAATTGGAAGGGATATGAGGTGTGGTATAAGACTATGGAACCACTGCTCAAGATATTAGTTCCAGAGTTTTGATTAAGATTTGAATAATAATTTGTGCGAAAACTCAATAAAACTATTCTGATAAATTATCTATCATGTTACAAATTATTATAGCAATATTTACGGTACTCGATTTCTGTTATCACCAATATTTTATAAAGTAAAAATTAAAAGGTGGTATAAGCAAGGTTATAGAGTAAATGTACAGTTTGTTTATTTTATTACACATTAATTCTATGATACATTGTTTTAAATTAGTTTTTATCAGTATTTGAATAACACATACATTTGACAAAACTATGTGTGAATACAGTATATGATAGGTATGTATACAATATAGTAATCATTATATTCTTAACATTTAAATTAAGTTAACAATAGTATTGATAATAACGTCAGTGTTTAGCGTTATATTCAATGATATGATAA